GGAGGACCTAGTGCAGCAGAACCCAGGAAAGACCCTACATTAAAACCAAGACACAGGGAAGAACTGACTCTCAGTAGTTGTCTTGTAACCTCCACATGTGTGCTGTGGGTACATGTGTGCCCATGCCCTCACACCCACATCATGAATTTTTAAAAGGAGTCAGATATAAAAGAATAAACACTAGATTATTGCATTTGTATAGTGTGCCTCAATGGACTCACAGAAGCAGAAATCAGAGTGGTGGTTTCCGGTGACTAGGGGAAGGAAGACATGGGCATTATTATAAGAGTTTTGGTTTGGGAAGATAACAAATGGTGTAGATGTGGGTGGTAGTGATGGTTACACAACTACGTGAATGCACTTAATGTCACTAAATTGGAGGCCTTAAAAAAGACAAAAATGGTAAATTGGAGAAAATAAAAGGAGGCAAAGAGAAAAGAATAAGGCTGTTGAAGTCCATTTGCCAACTAGAATACTCACTACTTGCAATGGTCAAAATATATCAGTACAGTTCTAGCCAAAAGCAGTGTTCAAGGCAAAGTTTTATTGGGTCTTATATATGGTTGGAAGTAGCTTTTAAACAACTCTCTTACAATTCCCCACTGGACTTGTTCTTACAAAGAGAGAACTCAGGATTAGAGAGAGGGCTTAGCAGTTAGGAGCCTGGACTGCTCTTGCAGAGGACCTGGGTTCATTCCCGTCACCCACGTGGCAGCTAACAACCATCCATCACTCTAGTTCCAGGGCATCCAACACCATCTTCTGACCTCTGTGGGCATTGCATAACACAGGTGCACCTGCATGCATGCAGGTATTACCCTCATACACAAAAAGTAAAAAAAAAAATTAAATTAAAAGAAAGAAGAGGGAAGTCTAGCTAGGTGGAGAATCCCATCTTTAATAACAAAGCTCAAAATCAAGATGAGGCAAAGACGGCTTCTTCCAAGTCAACCACTGTAATTAATTTTAGGAACATCATTCACCTTTTGAATATTTTATACAATCTTCTGCCTGGATGTTAGGAAATCTGCCCTTTGGCCATCTTTTAACTTGTCATGACCATGAAGCTTATCAACTTATACTTCCCTCTGTGGGATCCTAGCTGGGAAAGATGAATGAGGGCCTTTTTTATAAAAGAGCTGACTTGGTGCATCCTCTGAAGAAGGTGAATCTTTAAAGAAAGTATGTAGGAAGAGTCTCCAAGTAGAGGGAGGGAGGCAGAGAATGTGACTACCCGCTGACCATATAAATCGGTCTATGGTCTACCTGGACAAATTTTGAGGTCTACTGAAAACTCTGGTTTGCTGGTTAATCAGGCAGAAACTCTGGTTTCTCATCCATGCTCAGTTGTGCACAATGCCTCATCTCAATCTAGTCATTATTATACCAGTGACAGGATGAATAGAATTGGTGAGATATCATGATACTGCACATACAAATACATACAGATCTATATATGCAAGTATATTCAACAAAGTCATCAAAACCTTCTTATGACTCTACTATTCCTTAATAGTAAAATAGTAAACTGTACTTGTTCCTGTTGTGAACAGCCCAGGGATGGAAGTAAGTTGAATGGAGCATCCCAGGGTAGAGCTATGATGGTTCATGAAACTCATCAGTTTCTTGGCTTAAAACTACTCCTGAATGAGGATGAGCACACTCCCCACCAGGGCCTTTGTGGCTAGAGCTGGATTTCATGGCATAAGGACCATCATGATGAACTCTTCTGCCTTTGTCTACTAAGCAGTATCTTTCCTCAGCTCGCTCATGGAGACTAGATGGAGTGACTCATGATCAGCTACCCAAAACTTAATTCTACATTTTTAATCAAAGTTTCAACATCATATTTATGAACTACGCCTTCAAGTTAAACTCAGGTCCATTCAGAGGCAGGACCTTGCAGGATCTTCTGAGGTAATTGTTTAGACTTAATTGCTGACTTCTGTATACACAATTGAAGTGATCACTTTCTTTCACCATGACCATAAACTAAGGTACAGAATTCACCCCTTCCACACCTTTCTCTGCCCACCCAAGATTAGTAGCCTTAGATATTCACATAAACTGCTAAGATCTTAATAATACAGCTAATATGTAATGCAATGAGCAATATATTTCTGCTGCACAGAGGAGCCATGGTGGTAGCAGTCATAAAGTGAGATTACAGAAGGGAAAGACTGATTGCAAAGAAGCATGTGGAAACCTTTGTGTATCTTACTTGGGCTAGGGATCAAATAGTCATTTTGACACAATTAGCAACACTTATTAACCAAAATAGCTAAGTTATATGTATTTTGTTATATGAAAATTATATTACATTTTTTTTAAGTTATGGCAGCTAAGTAAAAGATGATGGCCTAGAGTGATGGAAAAGAGTAGGATGTTGACTTTCTCCTTCCCTCCACTTTGCCCTAACATTTCTTATCTCTCTAGATCTGTGGCAGCCCAGCAGAGTACTCTGTTTAGTGAAGGTAAAGAATATAGGTATAAGAATATAGTAACTTTTTTCTCCAGAATTCTGGCAGGTTTGAGGGCAGGGGTTTCTGGGGACATAGAAGTTTTATAAGTAAGGTGGGTTTGTGCCCAGTTCCCCTACTTCTTTAGTAGGAGCCCAGCACTTTCCTGATCCTGATCCCCATATCCTTAAACCACAGAGGACTTGAAGGTGTTCTCAAGGAAGGTTCACAGGACAGAAAATCCATCCAACATTCCAAACCCAGACATTCATGGCAATGTGCCACAGGAAGAAGGCTTTCACCTGGGATTCTCAGGCACCATGAATGAACGTGGCCCTCAGGTATAGGATCCAGGGTTAGTTTGGAGGCCACTAACCCAGGTAACTCTGTTCACCATCAGCACAGAGCTCTTCACCTGGCTTCTGGGCATAGGCAGCACCTTGAGATATCTAGCTAATTCTCATTCTTCCTCAGGGATAGCTGCTGCTTTACACTGAATTCACTAAGAGGCTTTGGTTGCACACATCTGTCTGCTGGGGAACAATCCTTTCCTGCTCTCCCACAACAGGAGTATTTCTGCATTTTACAGGTGATGAGATACTAGTAGACCAGAAGTTCTATTCCACTCTTACCATGCTCTGGCCTAATACTTGTCTCTCATTTTTACAAAATGGGCCCAATAAGGTCATTGAACACTGCCTTCAGAGCAAATTTAGGGACATTAATGAGATAATGACCACTAAGCCAGAGACTTTAGCAATAAATGGCAGCTTTGGATAGGGTCCACCACAAGGGTATGACTTTTTTTTAAACATTCAGGGACATGTCATAAAGGAATTCATTCACTTACTTGTTCAACTGGGGAATTTCAAGGACAGGAAGCGAATTAAAGTCTGGATGAATCAGTGTTGGTTTCTGATTCTCTGAATTTGTGCTTCAATCCTCTTTCTTACCATTACAGTCTCTGACATCACTGCCTTCCCTTCCCTACATTCTACTCACTGCAGTTCTGAAGATGCACTGAAGTTTCTGAATTGGATGCCAACAATAGTTTAGAAAGAAAAAAAAAGGAAGGAAGGAAGGAAGGAAAGAAGGAGGAAGGAAGCAAGACTGTTTCTCTCAGAACTATGTCTCTCACCAAGAAGTTTCCCCTAACCCAAAGCAGAGAGCATTTTCTTCATCTTGGAAGAAAGCCAAAGATGCTGAATTAAAAGTAGAACAAGAGCCATCACCCTAGGGTTTGTGTGCAGTCCCACCACCTACACCCCTCATGCCTCAGCATGGAAAAAAGTAACCAGAACCTCAAAGACTTAAAGGTCAAATCAAGGCAAGATTTTATCTTACAAGAAACTACATATTTCTCTTGGGATGCTGACTCCGTGGAAACTCTGGTGGGTAGAGAAAACCCCCAATGCCACTTGTTAAGTAGCTTCATGCAGTAGGTTGGGTAGAACTTGAGGGAGTGGAGGTGGACAGAAAGTGTCTCCAAGGGAAAATCAAGGCAGATACAAGGAGCTGACTACTGAAACATATTTCAAGAGAGGCAGGGAAGAGGGGAGGAGAGGAGGAGAGAGAAAGAGATTACAAAAAGTAGAATAAACTATGAAGTAATGGCTAGCTCCCATCTGTGGAGCCCTTTGGTGTTGGGGGATAGACTTCCACTTCTTGAATCAGGAGCCGTTTCTCTAGACATGTGGAGACAAAACCTTTCTCCTGAGCTGTTTTTCATTGCCAGATGCCCCCAGAAAATAGGGCAAAACAGACTTTTTCCTCTTTCCAACCACACATAGATAAGGATGACAGAAAAGTGGAGGGCATCTCTTGTCTACTTGCAAATATAGTATAATCCACATTACCTACCAGTCAGGCTGTATGCTTTTCTAGAAGCATGAAATCAGAGCCTCAGTTCCAAACTGCCCCAGCCTGGGGCTAACCTGTTGCACCTGCCCACCCACCATGAATTCATGCCAGAAGAGGAAGTGAAACATCAGGTTAGGCTCTATCCACAGCAAAAAGCCAGGAATCCTGGGGAACTGACATTTTAAAATATCATCTCTCCAAGCTCCCTCCAAGGAGCATAACTTTTAACTTATCTCCACTCCCAACCCCCAGTTTTTCCCACCTGCATACTTTCCCACCACTGAGGGCCGGCTGAGAAAGAGTTAATTAAGGAAGATCCAGGACTCATTTCCCCAAACCCTCCCTCTTATCTACATATAAAAAGACAGCCTCTCACAAAGACAAGCATAAACCTCCTAGCTCCGACCTCACCTGTCTTATGCAACAGTGCACACACATACATTTGCCCAAGCTCATTCCCAAGGCCAAGGTCCACATCCCCCTCTAATTCAGTAGACACAGTTTTGCGCCTTTCTTTTTCCCTACGCAGAACCCAGCTCTGCCGGCAGCAGAAAGAGATGTAACCTTAGTGCCAAACGCCTTGCAGGAACACACAGAACAGAACAGCAATGCCTCGCGTTGCTCTCCTTGGTGCTGAAATCTCGCTAGGGAAGAAACAAGAGCGCAGGGCTCTGGACTTACCCGGGTTGGCGGTGGGCGCCTGAGAACAGAGGAGCTTCCTAGGCAGATAATTCTTGTCTCTTCGGGCTGAAACCAGCTGATGCACTCATCTAGAGCGTCCACCTCTCTCTCTCTCTTCCCTTCCTCCTTTTCTGGGAGGAAGAGAGAAGGCTTCAGGAAAGAAACGAAACCCAAGCTGGTAGAGCTGTGAGTGGAGGAAGAGAAGAGACAACCAAAATAAGATTAAAAAGTCAGATGGCTTTACTCCACTAGTGGTAATTCCTTGGGTCAGGAAGGACCCCCTCTTCTTTCCCTCTCTCTGAAGCTTCTCTGTCTCTGCGTGTTGAACCAACAGCCTTAGTACAGTCGGTTCCTGCCTCTGACGTGAACGAGATGAGGAAGCCTGGGACTGCTTTGCTGTCTCTCTCTGACACGCTCTCTTTTCCCCTCTTACTGAAATTTCAGCAGCATATTTTTAAGCTGTTTTCCATCCTTCTGCAAACAGCCCCCTAGTGGACAAAAATGCAAAGCGTCCTTGGTCCTCTTGAAAAGTCTAAGTTCAGGCACAAGAATCTTGCTGCACCCTTGAACTCTTGGAGGCTGCCTCTCGGCACAGCCAGGCAGCCAGGGTCCTGAAAAGGACAGGGGCCCATCCCTATGCCTAGCTTAAATAGGAAGATAAAGAGGTAGGGGCTTTTGCAGATCCTTTGTCTGTGATTGCAGAAGTAAAGTGTGGCATGGAATGGGGGAGTGTCTCCAGGGACAAAATGTTTTGGAATAAGGCCAGTTGTGAGGATCTCAAGTATTTTATCTGAGTCTTCCAAAGACTCAGTTAACAGCACAACTAAATGATGGGAGTGCCTACCTAAGAGGGTAGGGCATGCAGGGGAGGAAAGAGACATCTAACTGGCATCTCACCTAACCCTATAATGTGGATTTTGGAAAGCTAGTAAGAAAAACCGGCAGGAAGACATATTCTGATATCCTCTCAGACAGAGAGACAAGACTGACCTTGTTGGATTTCCATGGAGAAACTTAGCAAAGAATGGGCTTGGTGAAGCAAGAGTCTCTGCTCACAGGTTCATAGGACCTAGCTTACACTCTTAAATGCCCAGTCATTCGGCCACCTGGAAAGTGTCCTGGTACTTACATCTGCAAACTGGAATCTTAGCTTTCCACTGTCCCTTGTGCACTGTGCATTTTGCTTCTCTATATGGCTCAATTCCATTGTTTGTAAAATGTGGATAATGCTGCCCCCTCCCTACTGAATAGAAATGCTGAGGGTTCAGAGTTATAGAAAGACATAAACCTCTCTGTTGGCAGAAAACTTGAATCCAATCTTATCCAAACATTTTTCTTATATTTGATTCACCCTTGACAAATAATAATGGTTAATATTTATAGAGCATTTATACCAGGTGCTAAGCACTCCTATTTATTAGTCCTTACAGGTGCCAGCTCGTTTAACCCATACATTCATCCTACAATACAAATGCTATGATTGCATCTTATAGACTGAGAAACTGAGGCACAAAGGGGTGAAATTACCCAAGATCACACAGCTAGTGCAGATCAGGAGATTGAAACATTGTCCATCTGACCTTGAAGTATCATCTGTTAACTCCCATGTCACTTTAAACATGATGACATTTAAAACAAATCCAAGATAGCATCATGCTAATGATCATTGTTGTTATTCAAGATAAAGTTCCTTGATGCTGTAATGCATTTCCATGTGGCTGAGTTTTTAAATAAAATATTTGCAACTACAGATGCCAAGCAAACTGTGGGAAATGCTATTACTGTTTCGAATCCCCTAAGAAAACCAATTCTCTTGGCGCTTTGGGTAGTTTCACATGTATAAAACTGGTTGTGAATCTCATGAAATAGGGAAGTATTGGGCAATAGTATAAATTCAGAAGACACATTGTTTAATTTCTATATCAAAAGCACATTGTTGCTTAGAGGCTAACATGGAGCTAGGATGGAGCCAGCAATTTGGTGAGCTGAACTGCTGTGATGTTGGCTAATAAGCACTCTGTATGAATTTGGCATTTTCTTCAGAATTTCAGAGCTATGAATTCCTTGCTTTAAGAAATAACTTTGGATTAAAAAGGATGAGAAAGAGCAAAGGTGGGTTGTGATGTTTTGCAAATTACAGTTCCCATCTCTAAGGAATTCACAGTTTCTCAAAGTGAAGAGAAGGGGCAAACAACCCAATACAGTTCAGAGGCTAGTGCTGACACACTGGCAAAAGCAAGGTAATAAACCAGAACATGGGAAAGAATACCAACCTGACCAGAAGGCCAGTGGGCTTCCTAAGGAGTGTAGCATCTTATTTGAGACCCAAAGAATGAGAAGTTATTTCAGCAAAGGGCAGGTAAGAGATGGAAGCTAAAGACATGGCACGTACAAACTCAGAGGTGAAGATGGGAAGGCTGAGACTCACACAGATTAACTGACTTGTTGAAGGTCACTCGTGCCATAAGGATAGCACACAAACCAAAGGCAGGTGTGTCTAACTCTAAGTCATCCTGTGTGAGAAGCACTGTCTTGTCACTTAGGAGTGTACATAGAGTTTCATAGGGCTTCTACTAGCACACACATAGCAACTTGAGCTAGGATCTACAAAGAAACAGAATGTGTGATCCATTATCACTAGATGAGAAAGCCACAAGAAGGTTCTAGACACCCCAGAGCAGGAGGAATTTAGAATGGAAGAATTGTTTCCACTGAATGTGAAATTGTCAAATGCCTTAAGAAGCAGAAATATTTCAGAAAAGCAAAGACATCGGAGAATCGGATTTGAAAGGAGGAAGAATGTAGAAAAGACACAAGGATTGCTTCATATTAAGGTCTGTGGGAGCCTGAAGGAGGAGGAAGTCCCTTTGTCTGGAAGGGATGATGGGATCTTCAGCTGGGAAGAGGCTATTCATCTAGACCTTAATGAATTTGGAATCAGGAACCTGTCATCCTTGTTCCCTACAACTCATACATAGAAAACATGGGGTGGAGTTGTCTTGAAGAATAGTGGGGTATTTATTAAAGGGAGCATAGATCATTGTAGACATAAAGACGTCAAATTTGGAAGATGGACAGGCTTGAGAAACATAGAAGGAAAGTGAGAATGATGAATGAATTTAGTCTAGGACACGTCAGGTTTGGAGACAGTCCAAGGAAAGAGCTATCTAGGCAGTGAGTGGCTGGAGTATGTCTGGAGCTCAGACTGGGATCTGGGGTTGGGGATATAGGTCCAAAGCCCATTTTCTAGTACATCATGGCTGCAAGATAGAGACTATCAATAAAAAAGAGCTAAGAAGACTGAGGGCAGGATCTCAACTTTATTTTCTTAATCCCTCCATCAAGTTTTATGCTTTTGCATCTTTGGGGCTAAAGTGCTAGATGTCCTGGAAACAGCTACAACGTTCTCCTTGTTGGTTCATAAAAGTGGCCTAAATATATTAAAGTTGATATTGGGCCAAGATCAGTTACTGGTTCCTTATCTGGTCCCTCTTATAGACAAGGCCGGTTTCTCACAATTTCCCCTCTGGAAGTTGCCAATCACTGACCCATAAGGACTCCAGCTCCTAAGCATTCCTCTTTGTTGTTATTCTCCATCCATGAAGCTAGGTCAAATGGAGTGTCACCCCAACCACTCAGCTGTCTCCAGAGACCCGGGAGCCATGGAGTGGTTAGTCATCATGATTTACCTGCCCAAGGGAAAGCTGAACTACAGTCAGCATTCCAAAAGATCCTGGGATCTGGGATCCACCTTTCTAGAACTTGAGGGTAGACACAAGGACTCAAAATACAGTTATGACTTTTTGACCAAAACACAAGGGAAACCAAAGACTCTGCTTTGGGATACAGTGAGCTCCCAGTTCCCAAGCTAACCAAGGCCAGTATCATACCACTGTTCCAAAGAGCTAGAATGAAGAAGCTTGGTGTAATCACCAGACAAGAGGAAAAGAAAACTTGATTCTGAATAAAGAGAGGCGAGAGAAGAGGAAAGGTAGACAAGGTCTAGGTGATTAAGTACCACTCGAAGCCATCTTATGGAGGAACTCTTTGAGAGCAAGCCTTTCTACTTCATAGTCCTTCCTTTCTATACAGTGTCCTTTCACAAACCCTGTGTTTACCTGGTCATATTGATATAGAATTATAAAGAGTTGCTCTTTGCTCCTATGACAACATAAACTCCTTGGAGGCCAAGATAGCATGCTTCTGATAAGAAACATCTGAAGCACTGTGGGACTCTGAGGGCCTGGGAGGCAAGGAGAGTGGGAAAGAGGGAGGGGGGAGGGAAGAAAGAGAGAAAGGATGGGGAATCATGATTTTCTCTTCTATACTTCTCACAACATCTTTCCTACAGCAAAAGTGAGGAGACTGGGCACCTCATGCAGTCTTAAGTGACTCTTCCCACCACTTGGAGGAAGAGCCCTATTGCCCATGCCTTCACACAGATTACAGTGGACCATTTGCTCCCATGTTCTACAGGTAGGGGGTCCATTCTATAGTTAAGGGAATCAATGTCCAGGAAATAAGCAATTTCCCTGAGGCAGTGAAGCAGCTTAGGTCTGTTGTAGAGGAGGGGAGACAAGAGTATGCAACGTCCAGAGTCTCACCTGGAGCCCTGTGCACACTCCCATGCCACAGCCCCTGACCATGACCATTCATAGATGAGGAGTGGCCTGAAATGACTTGGAGTTCACGGCTTCTCAGCATCAACTGTACATATTCAGGAGTCACACAATCAGACCATGCAGAAAACGCCGGCCTGGAGCTCTCAGAACTTTAACATAAGGATCTTGGCCCTCCATGTTGCTCTTGAGGCCTGTGATGGAAGAGAAGAGCCTAGAGCAAAAGTTGCAAACATGCAGAGTTGTCTAATGATGGAGACTGCTAAATATGGTCCAACTCAGGAAGAACAGCCACTTGTCAGGACATTGCAGGAACATTCAAGCAGTAACTGAGTGGTTGGAGCAAACGACTTGCCACTTTCCTTTCAACTCAGATGGTGTGAGGTTGTATTAGCCTAATGGCTACAGGATTTGCTTGGAATGAGCCATTTCAGGGACTATTCTAGGACTTATTTGCTGGGAGGTAAAGGGAGGAATTCTTAAAGACTGTCATGAGGATAACTTGGCTTGAATGTTCACCCCCACAAGGAGGCAGAGAGGCCCCACCTCCCAGGACTGCACTTGGGCTCTGTCCCAGCCTGACTCAGCAGGACTTGGCAACTCATTGCATGATAAGAATAATGTCTGGAGAGAACTTTGGAAAGCCCACTGCCGACCATGGAGACAGGAAGGCTGCAGTTACAGACAGGCACCTGCTAAGGGA